ATAGTGATCATTGTTTGCGATCGGAAGGCTCTGAATTTTTTTACACGTTTTATAAATGTCAGTGGTAACTACTCAATATATTTTTGAAGTGTATATTTGAAGAAGCAGGTAATAATAGGTATAATGTGCAGATAGCATGAATTCTTCCACTGATGTTGATGTAGCAAATAATTGTATATAACAAAAATATTCAATAATGATTTTTCTTGAGCATTCCACACAGAGTGGATGGTAGCATTGCTTTTTTATCGATAATTCTAGTTGAAAATGGAACTATTTAAAAAGCATTCAACTGTCACAGGATTGTGCGAGAACTAAAAGCTACCAACACTCATGGTCTTCATATTTAAGTAATATTATCAATAAAGATCGTTTTGTGAAATAATACTGCTTAATAATAATTGATTTTGTTTTGTAATGAAGTGTAACCAAGTACCTCCAAAAAGATATTTACTGTTTTTAGCAAAAAAACTTGGTTGATTGGTGCAATTCTTGTTAAAAATTGCTTTTTTTTTGTTAATAAAATCCCCTATAAAAACATCTTTATGTAAAAAAACCTTGCCACATACTAGACCTTACGAGATCCTCTATTTAAAAGTAAGAACTATACGAATTCCATATGTTCTTACATCCAAAAAGTATGCGAAGCAATGAAATTGAGCCACAAAGCTAAGGATATAAGTAGCTGAACATTCTCCGGTAATATCTTATCACAATTTTTCATTTACAAAGTTTCATTCCTTCATTAGTTTTGTTATCACTGCTTATTACATTTAAATTTATTAATATAATTAGTTAATATGCAAAACATTAAGTGATATCTCATGTGGTATTACTTAGCCAATCCGTGTTTATTGAAACAAATTTCTTTTTACGATTTTATTACTTTACCGACCGGAAACCTATTAATTGGTTTTGCGATATCCGTGATCGCCATTTACATCTAAATTTGCCGGTCGGTAAAGTTAATATTCGATTCTAGACTGGGTCTTTTATAAATACAGTCTCCTAGCTGTATTAAAATGATTCTACGTTGCTGTAAATGGATAGTATGAAGATATATTGTCAAGTGCAAGCACAGCACAAAAGGTGCAAATATTTAGGAACTTATGTACTTGCCTTTTTGGTATGCTATTAGTACTTTTCGTACATAAAAGCATAGTGTTGAATCTGAATAGTTCACATTTTCAAAAAGAGAGATTTGCAGCAACCCAGTACTTAGCAAGGTTTATTTATAAGGAGAGGCTTTTGTAGGGGATTTTACAAACTTTCGATTTTCAATAATTTATTTATTTTAAAATCATTCCCCTTAATTTCAGTCTATAATTTTCTGCAGTAACATTATTTGCTATCGTTTCTTATTTGTTTCAATTATTCTGATAAAATAACCCTTAATAATATACGACAGACTGACTTTATTTCGCGTTTGTTAGTTATTTTAACAACCGATAAAAAAAAAGAAGAAAGTTAACAGTTTGAGCTATTTGTATGTATTTTTTAGATAGGTTTACACATAATATCGCATTGTGTGGACTGATGACAATGGATGATTTTTTTTCTTGTTCGGGAAATGTTCCTCAGATAGTCCCATGTAAATTTTGTTAGGCACTAGTCATGGAATCCAAAGGTAGAACAATGAAAACCCTAAATGGCAACAGTACACACACATTAAGACACAAGAGCAGTTTTTACCTACGGTAGTGTCACACAATATAAGAGTTGAAGTTGAATGATTAAATAAAAATTAGAGATTACAAAAAACTCAAAGAAAAAAATATAAACAGAAATATGAATCGCCATCAAGAAAGGAAAGCATCACTAGAAAGCATAAAAACCGATTTAAAAAAAATACTGTAATGTGAAAAATAATGGTATGTGAAGGAAATATTCACAAAGGAGCAAAATGATCGGTGGTTCATGGGTTGCCGAATTCTAGAGATTACTCGTAAGAATATGTCATTGTTGCCTAAAAATCAGATAAGGCTAAACTAAAGTCATATCGGAATTTATGAAAAGTTGCATATTTTAGATTTATTCGTGTTGTTAGCACTTTCTGCACTCGAGTGTAACGAGTGTCCTACACTTTTCTTGAAAACTGCAAAAGTGTAGGTACACTTTTGTCGACTATCCCAAATGCCAGAAACCTCAAGAAAGTCCAAGGTGTCCGATTCAGTGGAACGGTACGCAATTTTGGGGTTATCCGGAACGGATGATGACGAATACGAATATGTAATGCTCTCTCCAGCCTTCCTTCCTGAGCAGTCTTTGTTTTCTGCAAACCCTACTAACCGTTCCATTACCTTGCAATTGTAGAAGACGAAAATTCTTTCTTTCACGAATTTCAGATATTAAGGGTTAATAAGGATCAGGATATTATTGTAGTAGAATGAAAAACAATTTTAACTACACAGTGAAAAATTATAGTTTAGTTCATTCTAACTGCGGTTACGCAGTAATGTATAAGTATTCTAAATAAATAAATAGCAAATCATTAAATAATTATTGTGAATTGTTTCAAATATTACATACAAAATTAAAATGCTACATCGTTCTATACACAAAGATGCATTAATAATTATTTCTATTTATATTACTTTGAGATATTGGTACAAACTTTGTATTTTCTTTTTTGTTGGTCTATTTAAATCTGAAATTTGCCGCCAAATTCACGGGCTACACTTTTATAGCAACTTGCACTTGCTTAGGATTTAGGATTTGAGGTGTAGAAAGTGTACAAAAAGTGTACATACACTTTTCGTAAAAGTAGAAAGTGTAGGCAGAGACAGCCAGAAATGAGTTAGGAGGTTGGGAGGTTGCTCATGGGCAGCGTCACGCGATAGCCTACTGTGCTGTTCCCTGGTGGTACGTGTGGGTGGCTAACGTATTTGTCACCTGTTACCCCTCAGTGGCGGCGCAACTCATCTCTTCCAGAAATGAGTTACTCCTAGAGTTCGAAAAATCTCGGTAATATTAAATTGGAGAAGGTAACTGTGAAACATACCGTAAGTTACCGGGAACGTTGAGAATTTAAGAGAACGTTAATTTTGTTATTTATACTTTAGGTTTTTTCGTTTAAATAACTGTTTCTTTTCAATCAACTTCAAAGTTCAAGCTATAGAGTAATAATTACTATTAGAAAATATTGATTATAGGGTCGTATTTACTTCCAGCTAAAAATATTCACGTATCTACAACTTCACGGAAAATTCCATGCGATTTATTTCAAATGAACTGATATTTCATTCTGCGACGAAGCGAATGGGAGGTTTTGATTGGCTACGGAGAACGTACAACGGAAATTCCCCTCTACGATGTTTCTCTATAGCTAATCGAAACCTCTCGTTCGCTCTGTTGAAAAATTCAAATTCTCATAATTTCTCGATAAAAAAGGCTTTGGAGAAATTACCGATAAGTTACCGGGAATTTCTCTTCGTTTCTGACGTAACTTACTGGATTTAGAACTCTAGTTACTCCTATATATCGCGAATTGTCGGGCTGCCGGCCCGAGGACGCCCGTAAACAAATCTGGCGGTCTTAACTACCTAATCATTTAAAAAAAAGGCACTAATTTAAATAAAGGCATCTACTAAAAAAAGATACTTAACAAAGGCACCTACATAAACTAGAGATGAGTTGGGAGATTGCTCATGGGCAGGATCGCGTGATTTCGTCCTGAGTCTAACGTCCAACGCGCGATCACGGTCAGCTCCTGGATTGGGCGAGGCCGGAACCATGAAATTTCTTTAATGAGGAACATCTATATTGCCGCGAGTAATTGTAGTCTGGGAAGTCAATTATTCGCTCATGGTATTCCCGGACGTCCGCGATTGTGACAATTTTCTTTCAGGGATGAAATTAATTAGATCGCGCTTGGGAATCCGGATAAATGTGCAATACGCCCGGACGGCGCTTCTTCGGATCGTAGGTCGTCGTTTTGTTAGCTTTTAGATTTGCTCGCGGAGTGATTATTTTTAACATGAAAAACCAGGGGATTGCCAAGCAGTTCGAGACGTAGAGGGTTCTGCCCGAAGAGACTGCAAGGGTAGAAGAGGCTGTATGCCGAAGCGGCCCCTTAAGGGAAGGGCAATTACGATGGCCTTCCGTTCTTTCGAACGGACAGCCATCCATTTTTTGACCACATTATCTCTCCTATGTTTTTTTACGTCACTTTGTCAGGATTGACGGAGATTAGACGGCGAACGATCATTTCGAGTATATTTTTTCGATTCTACATTTAAATGGATTTTTTCCTACTTAGTGACATGAAAAATACCAGTTTAGTAAATTTAACGAGATCGATCTACCATTAATGTTCTTGACTTTTAGTAACTTATTCGCTGTCTAATCTCAGACTTCCTGGATTTTTTTAAATGTTCTGTTTTACCTGTTCTTTTGTGCCCCTTTTCAGGTTTAGGTGGATCACAACTGGATTCATTTTTTTGTTCAAGACATCATGGGTAGTTCATCGTTGCAGATTTTGCTGGACTTGTTGGTAAGAGATGTTAATTTTTCGATTCTACATTTAAATGGATTTTTTCCTACTTAGTGACATGAAAAATACCAGTTTGGTAAATTTAACGAGATCGATCTACCATTAATGTTCTTGACTTTTAGTAATTTATTCGCTGTCTAATCTCAGACTTCCTGGATTTTTTTAAATGTTCTGTTTTACCTGTTCTTTTGTGCCCCTTTTCAGGTTTAGGTGGATCACAACTGGATTCATTTTTTTGTTCAAGACATCATGGGTAGTTCATCGTTGCAGATCTTGCTGGACTTGTTGGTAAGAGATGTTAAAAGGTGTTAAACGATGTTTGTTATCACAGAGATGAGTCGGGAGCAGAGATGAGGAGGATCCCTAAATTGGGCCGGCATTGATGTGTATCAGGTGGCCCGTGCATTAGCCGTCCACATCCTCCACCGGGGACAGCACACGACGCGATCGCGTAACCCTGCCCGTGAGCAATCTCCCAACTCATCTCTGTATGAACAAGATACTCTGTATGATTCTCTTTGCCTTTGATTTAATTCTTGTTTGTTCTTGTTCATGTAGAGAAATTAGATTTGAAACGTAATAGAGGTGTGCAGAAACTTGAATGTTCTGAAATTAATTAAAGACAAGTCACTTGAGGAACAAAACAAATATGTAAATACACTTGCAGTTTTTACTGACAACGTGTTTTCTGTACGAAGTTTATCGAGTTTCTTAGTGAAGTAATATATCGAACAGAGACTGTATCGAAGAAAGTGCCTTCGTGTTACATTGTCATTGCACAATATGCTTCTAGAGTGTACGGATAGCTGAACAATGCAATTTTATTCGTTACTAAATATGAGTGGTTTTCTATCAACGCATCACTTTTTAAGAAATGAAGATGAGAGTACTAGGCAGGATGCAAAAATTGATTTTCTATCTGGTTACTTAATTTTGTTATGGGTAATTTTTTATTTGATTTACAAAAAGTGCCTTAATGTAAGTATTATCAGCTTTCTAAAGTTTATTTTGACATTGAAATGCTTGTTTAGTTTGTTGACCATCCTCATTGCATATATTTGATGGGAGTCCTATCTCTTATCATTGATGTATCCTGAAGATATATGTCAAATATATCAAACATATTTGTATATTATGTTGTTATGTATTGAAACAAAATTTTGAGAGTTTTGTAATGCTTTTCTCTTTTTGATGGCATAAATAGAGAGAGATCCTATAACAAAATGAGATGTACGATTTCATTTAAACATTACTTTAAATGTGGGATATATGATATTTTTCTGTTTTTAAATTATTACAGTCTTAATTGATCTTTGTTGAATAATTTATGGTGTATGCTTATTCATACATACGTACATTTCCAAGGGCTTACTGTATCATTATTTGCTATGTTTATAAGGAGTATTGAAAATGAACAAATGATTAAAAACACATGTATATAAGTACCAATATTCTTTAATACAGATGTTACTTCGCCGTATGTGCATTCCTCTGATGCAAAGAAATCGAATAATCAGTGGAATATGGAATTGTGGCTTTTGCTTCAGCAGTATATGTTATTTGAAGTTTCCAATGTCAAGAACCTCAACATTGTCTTCCCTTCGGTTTGATAGTCAGTGGCAGGAATTAGGCTCTACCTTTCATAAAAGCTTTTATATTCATCATGCAGGAGTGGAATTATTTTGTAACGGTGACTGGATGAAGGGATGGACCCAATTACTGTTTGCTCTGTTTATTATTAAACCCTATCTACAAAAGTAAATCTAAATTTTATATTTGTAGATATATATATATATGTGATTTATTCTTATAATGATTTTTTTTATGTAATATGATACAGAAAGTGGTACTACAATATGTTATATTTTACAACTATGTCTTGAATCGTGAAGCAGTTATGTATTATTTTTTCAGGCCATACCCTATTGTTGCCAATCTGTTACTTCACAAAGCCATTGATATCCTGACAGTTGATAGTTGCCGAATTATTCTTTCTGGTTGGCAAAAAAAAACTGGGAAAATTATTACAAAACTACTGTTCCTATTTCATTGCATTAATTGGTAAAATGTTTTTTGATGAACATGGTTGTTATAGTGCATACCACACTCTAATCTTTTTTTAGTTTATAGGATGTATTTGTACATACTTCTGATTCCTGGTTTCTTACTCGGGTCACATGTTACATCAAGAATAGAGTTTTTCTTCTGGATGTGGTTCATGTTGGAGATACTGAATTCAGTAAACAGTTTCTAATATTGCTTATTAATTTGAATATTTATACAAGTATTATTGTTAAGCACTATTAAAAATAATGCTCTGACATTTATTTCTACATCACTTAGGTAATAATAAAACTTTTTGGGAGTATGAGTTCAAATCATTGGTTGGAGTGTTGCATTTTTCCACCTCCTTCTCAAGAAGTCATGCAGTTAGCAAGTATCCGGAAACGGCATCAGAATTCGTTGAAAAGGTTGACTGTTAATTATCATCTATAGTGAATGTTTAACGGTGTTCAAGTATTACATTAAGTACATTAACGATATGTATGTTTTAGTAACACTTGCCCAATGTCCTCAAGGAATAAGATTCAACTTCAACAAATGTTGCATTGTAAGTACTTTGCAAAACTACATTTTATTAAATAAAATATACTCCAGTCATTTATTTATTTGTATTCATTAACATAGGTGCAATGGCTATTAAAAGGAAAGTAAAGAAACTACGCGAAGCAAAACATCAAATCAACACACTTCAGTCACCTGAAGAAGATTCAATAACAATCAGTGATGGTAATAACGAAGAAAAAGTATCACTAAGTGAGTCCGAGTGATATTTTGTTTATGAGAATCCTCATAAACGTTAATTTTTTATACTCGTCGAATTCTAGTCAACTTGAAGCTGTCACGACTCTTGTACGTTGTTTCGTATGAATTACTATGAGCACAGGCCTGAAAATGAGAGAATTCTGTAACTATTTGTAAGAATGGACAATGATTGACTGTCGTAAAGGGCAGCGTTTAGTATGCACCTTGTTATCGTTTTTAATAGAATGTGCTTGTTAGATATTGAACTTAAAGAAATTCCCTCCTTGATCATATTCGTCGATTTCGTACATTTCAACGGAAATACTTTGACGTGACTTTTAATTATCTTCTAACTTAAAGCACATTCCATTCTCATCAGCATACCAATCAAGGGTTTTGTAATATTTACAGAATAACTAGTAACAAACCATCGAAAAAGATTTTGCAATCTGGAAATGAGCTTTTCATTCCGCATAGACATCGAGAATATCAAAGCCATTTATTAACCGGTTGCGTCCAGCGGCTGGAAGTAACAATGCAAGTGCATCGTACTCGGAAGTTTGATGCATTTCGTTCAATCGAACAATGCATATTTCTCATTCCAACTTTTTCCACGAACAATGTAGGACCCATGGGACTGTCGCTAAAATGGGCCCATGTCACACAATGTCGCAGGCGTTTTCTCCGGGAGGCCATTTCCGTAATCATCGTAAGTATAGGTATACTGTGGGACAGTACGTTACTGTCCCCGTCACTAGGAAGAAAAGTTCGGTTGGGTTGCTGTCATTGCAACCGAGCACTGTTTAGAAGCTAATTAGGCTATTCACCAGAAGAATGTCTTTTACCACACGATCCGTACAAAACACACACGTCGCGGCGCAGGAGAATTGCCTACAGGAAAGGAGGCGGAAGTTCCTTATACTTTTCGAACTAAACCGCTATCTCCACGCGAGAGTACCGCCAGTAATAACAGCTTTTCTAGACACGAAATATCCGGTTTCCGGTACGACGCCAGTACTGTTGGTCCCAAGACTGTTCTCACGTTAATCCGTCGATACTTCGCAATTTCTTTTTACGAGCTGACACGTTAAACGCTTATTAAGGTGAAATGAAACCGACCTAGGAACTTGATCGAAGTCGGAAAAACAGGTTTTTCTAAATACCTACGTTGCCGGCGTTCGTTTCTATATTGACAGCCGTGTCGAATTACATTGAGTATTCTATTAAATGGCATACTTCATCTGTTGTTTTCGTGCAATAGTTATAAAGAACTCGTAGTAAAATTCCAGAAATTCCCTAGATTTATGGTTTCTGAGGCCCAAATTGACTGCAGAAGGATTCCTGGCGCCATCTGTGATTTCCGTGTCAACTAAATTTTCACTCCGAGACGTATTGTCATTGTTTTAGTATAGATGCGCATAAGACAGTTTTCTAAATTGTCGTACAATTGTTCTGACCCTTTCGTTTCTCATATTAGAGCCTGCAATAATTCAATATCAATCAAAATATGAGAGCACGACACCATTTTGGTTATGGTCTGGTCCGAGTTAAAAAATTTTTTTTCAAAAATCCAAAGATGTGTTGGAAGAATTCTTAGACGATCATGAGTCATGTGTCAAAGTTTCGGACAGTTCTATCCAATATCCTTAAAAAAAAGTGTTGTATTCGAATCGACTGATTTGAGGGGGGTTTCACTTCACCTTAAGACCCCAATAATGATTGGTACTCATTGGTGAAAAGTTGATCGATGGAAAAAGACGAATAAAATTTTGCAAGAACGTTCCTTGCATCACTTGTGGTGAACAGGGTTAGACCATGTCTTAAGACTAAATATTTCCGATGTATGTACATTTAACTCCTTAATTTTGAAAAAACATTCTTATATTTCGTAGCGATTTATTTCAATTAAGAGTCTCGTGTTTTTAGAGGAATTGGATGTTATAATGTGTCATGCAAACAACGTGGAAGAAATTGGCTGGAAACTGTTCCCCAAAATGGCCTCCCGAAGAATAGCTTCGTTAGAAGCATTATGCAACTTTATACCGACTGTCATTTACGTCACAAATGCGTGTTCAGTTCCTGTGAGTAGATCTCATTTGGATGGACTTTTCTTCCCATCAATTTAGCCAACTAAGACGTAGACTGTAGACTGTTTTGGCGAATCACGGATGACGAGAAAGCTAATTGTAAGTGGTTTTTAGTTACATAGACGTGTGGCAGAAAGATCTCATGATTTCTACCTACGGTTGGAACAACTTTGTGGAATGTACCTGTCTCGCAGTATCTCGTCTATGGTGTCGCAATGCGATTCTAATTGGTGATTGCTAATGCTAGGCGTGTTATTTTTTCCCCGTCCACGCACATAAGTTCCCAAGGAGTTACGAAATTAATTCCCACGACACGCTATCTTTCATCTCACTTTTTATTTCGATACACAAACGTATGCTATCACTAATTTATGTAACGGCGTATGTACATATCAAACGAAAATACATCCCGAGGTTTCCTATTATTATTGGAAAGGTTTTTTACGTGGAAACGTCCTTTTTGGTTAGACATGGATGTACTCTAAATGTAATTCTTTTATTTGCTTGTTGAGCGTTCCTCTATGTTTAAACCTTGGTTCATTTTTGGTTGAATTCTGGGTCCTTCGAGACGTGGTTAAAGATATTAGTCCTTGAAGAACATAAAGATTAAAGTATAAACAGAAATATTACGAATGATACTTCATAGTCGTCTTTTTCCAGCTATACATGTATCTACATATAAATGCACTTTGGTTCTGAATGCAGTATTCATATTAGTAATTTGGAAAACGTATTAATACAGATGATCTTAATTATGGATCAAACTTGTAGAGATTCAGGAAGTAAAGAGAAAAGAAAAAATATCAATGAATCAATATGCGTCTCTACTGCAATATCGACACATTGAAAAAGCATCTTGTTGCACTTGAACACTTTGTTATTCGCTTTAATTAAAGTTCTAGTAACAAGTTGGAAAAATTCAAGGACATATGAGATGAGTCTTAAATAACTAACAAATATAAATAAGTCGAATAAAAAAGTGACGAAGATGGGAATACAATAATAGTTTTGTGAAGAGGGGTGCGATCTTGTTACAGTTCTCCATTGTGTCTCTCAGCTGCAGCGAGAAGAATGCGTATCACGAAACGCATATGATGATCCTTCCTATCGGAAGCACCAGTCGAGAGACGGGATAGCCACTACAAGTACCAAGGATAATCACGCATCCTTGGTTTCCTACATTTTCTTTCCCATGTCTTTCTCCTCTTCGGAATCCTCATTGATGATTTGTACGCTCCTTACAGGTCCAGCCTTTCTGTATCTAGAAGAAGGGGTCGTGGTACTGGTCACCATGGAATTCATCGGAGGTCTTTCGGCATTAATCGCTAGCTGTAGCATTCTGAGGAGTAGAGCTTCGCGAATGGGTGGTGGCAAGATCTCGTCTCCGTCGTCGGTATCCTCGGGCACATAGAATTTCTGCCGGTAAACCCTTTTCGTATACCTTCCCTGATCTTGATAGTCATCGTATTGATTTGGTTGATAGACAGGGTTCAGGGATCTGGAGAGCCCAGGTCGCCTCATCGGAACGCGATCACCGTATTGCACGGGGACGGTGGTCTGATCGTAGGCGAGATCTCGCCTTGGAAGAGGTGACTGATAAGCCGGTTGATATTGGGGGTAGGGCTGATGGTCATACAATGCGTCTTCAAGGTATGTCTTTGGGTAGTTCAAGGCCTGGGGACCGTATTGGCTGACCAGAAGTCGCCTCAGGAGGATCTGGAAGTCCCGGCGGCTCAGCGGTGGGGCTATGGGGTTGGGTGGTTCCGGTGGGAGTGTTAAGGCACTGGATCTGTAGGGATATTCTGGAGCGATGGGTCGCTGGTAGTCGCTTTCGTCAAGGGACTGTATCATGGGTCTGAGAGCCGGCCTGTGCCGGAGTTCCTGCTCCGGATAGGGACGGGGAAACGGTCTCTGGCGAATGAAGTTCGGAATCACTGGTACTCGGGCTGGTTCCATGGACTCTGAAGCAGGATTTTCCGTGATATAATGGACGTTGGCATCCGTCGTTGTCGAGTACAGGGATTGTTGCCCCGGTAAAGGGCGAAGGAGGATCCTGCCGATGGGAATCGCTCTGTAGGTCGGGTCCTCGTCGGGGTTCACCGGAGATCCCTGAACCAGGATTCCTCCTGATGGAAGTTCCCGCAAATACTGATCCGGTTGTTGCCGAACATAGACTGGTTCCGAACTCTGCCTCACGTAATCTCGCATATCGCTCTGGGCTCTTGTCGGTCCCTGGATCAAGAACTGATTGGCGTTGCGTTCTTCTTGAACCGTTTTATCCTCGGGTTCGTACACTCGAGGACTGTCGAACTTGGCCGGTCCAACGTTTTCCTGGTTCACATAAATGGTCTTAGGTCGTTCCCTCAAGGCAATGACCCTCTGGAGAACGCGGGAAGGCATTCCTGTCGTGAAGAGAGGACGCGTCGTCGATAAGGATCCACCGTACACATCCGAGCGATCGTCTTCGGCCGCTTCCGTGGGGATGTTCACCTTCGTGGTCTCCTCCTGAAGCTGCCTCCTCAAGGTGTTCCCGGTGGTGATCCTGTCTTCATCTTTCTCTTCAAAGTCTTCCGTGATGGGTCTTAGATTATGTCCCACGGGACGTTTCGTAAAAACGATCTTCCTGAAGGCGGACGTGGCCTTTTCCTCGGTGTTGGGACGATTGATCTGGGAATCCTCGTCTTCGACCACCTCTTCGATCAGTACTGGCCGCTGCTGACCGTTAATGACGAACCTCGGCCGACCTTTCTGACCGGCCCTCACGTAATTACCAAATATTGGCCTTTGGGGCTCGGTCGTTGAACTGGGGGTCGTGGTCGTTGTCGTCGGAGTTGTAGTCGTCTTCCTGGTGCGCGGAATCGCCTGGACTACCGAAGCTCTGGTGGATCCTTCGGTAGCGTAGACTACATTTGGTTTCCTGGTAGTGGAGGTGCGATTGGGACGAGGTATGCTCTGCACAACTGACACATGTTCCTGCAATGGCGACAGCGTTGTTGCTTTAAAGCCCGTCCCGTTCGACGAGGAGTACGACACCCTCTTAATCTCCCCGGCGGCGTCTACGAAGCCAAAGGTCCCCTTGATGTTGCCTAAAACGTCGCGGCTCTCGACCTAGCAAACGTTTGCTTCCAGTAAGTGGGTCGGAACGTGCAAAGTAATGAAGGTGGTGTCAGTCACTGCCCGGAGATTGGACGTTGTATTTCATTTATCTCAATTTCGACTTGACATTCCTATACGTTAACTACTCATGGGCACTTTATGAATGTATCGGAATGAAGCGAAGCAATGAACTTCTCCACCTACAAGAAGTCCACGACTACCCGTAACCACAACCCTCTCGAGATGCATGTACCCGTTGAATCGTTTAGTATCCCTTTATGATCTACTCTAGAGCGATCTATGCAGTATTTCATTTATCTCAATTTCGACTTGACATCCCTATACGTTAACTACTCATGGGCACTTTATGAATGTATCGGAATGAAGCGAAGCAATGAACTTCTCCACCTACAAGAAGTCACGACTACCCGTAACCACAACCCTTTCGAGATGCATGTACCCGTTGAATCGTTTAGTACCCCTTCATGATCTACTCTAGAGCGATCTATGCAGTATTTCATTTATCTCAATTTCGACTTGACATCCCTATAAGTTAACTACTCATGGGGACTTTATGAATGTATCGGAATGAAGCGAAGCAATGAACTTCTCCACCTACAAGAAGTCCACGACTACCCGTAACCACAACCCTTTCGAGATGCATGTACCCGTTGAATCGTTTAGTACCCCTTTATGATCTACTCTAGAGCGATCTATGCAGTATTTCATTTATCTCAATTTCGACTTGACATCCCTATACGTTAACTACTCATGGGCACTTTATGAATGTATCGGAATGAAGCGAAGCAATGAACTTCTCCACCTTCAAGAAGTCACGACTACCCGTAACCACAACCCTTTCGAGATGCATGTTCCCGTTGAATCGTTTGGTACCCCTTTATGATCTACTCTAGAGCGATCTATGCAGCCTTCCGAGAAATATCATAATCCACGAAATACCTTGAAGGATCCGTCACCAGCTTCGTATCCGAAGGTGTAGGAGCCATCCTCGTTCACTTTCCTGATCTGTTTCAGGATGGCCACCTGATGGTCGTGTTGGGTTTCCGAGGTCTGTTGGTCCGTTACATTGGTGCAGCCTGCCGTTGCCAAACAGATGAATGCCATCAGCCATGGCGTCATCTTGAACAAACGGAACGGAAATTGGTTTAGCGGCCGCTTCTTTAACATCCCTTTCAGGGCATTCACTTTAACCACCGCGAGTCCTTCGGGATTTATATGTTTATCTGGCGTTAAGTTGCACTTATTCGCAAGTTAAGGTTCTATTTAGTTTAGGAAATTTTCGAACGGGTGGGTTTACTAAGATTTTGATGTTATGTAAAATTCCAGCTTGACGTCTACGCACTGCTACACGCCGAAGAGAGTGAAACTCTTGTGGGAAGTACCTTGCGAGAGGGAACCATGTTACCGCAGATGCGGTGAATGTTGACAATACCGCACGGTGTACTGTGCACTGTTTTATATAGAGTGACACAATGGGGTTCTGCCACCTCCAGTCTTCTTTCGGTCTCCTCTCTTTGCCGCGGGTCAACCTTGATGACCTCCAAATCCGTGCTAATGAATGACCAGGTTCCTAGGATATCTATCACTTGAATCAAATCGTTCGATTGGACGTGAAACACGTCTCGCCCGAATGTATATTTCGGGGAATTTCTCATTCAACATTTTCCAACATATTATACGGAATCGATGTTTTTCGAATTGCTCAAATTACGTCCACTAATTCGATGGCCTTCCTTTTTTAAGGGGGAATATTCTCCCTGTTTTGGTCATCTTTAATGACCTCCAAATGTTAACTTGTGAACGTTTGATGTAGGATCTATCTTGATATGGCAGAGCTTCTGATGAAATTCAGAATCTCAGATTAAACAGCTGTTTACGCGATTAATTTGCGACAAGACCTAACCTCGGGACGAAAGGGATAAAATTCAAAATTTAGTATGCCATTTGCATTTTTTGCCTACTTTTGATATCATCGGCCCCTCTGTGCGCCACTTTGTTGTTGTTAAACTTTTTACTTACTGAGCGACCCTAGAAACCTCCCAATACTGAATTTCAATTAAATTCAGGGTATTTTTTGAAAACTTGTCCGCTACTTTGTTTTTTAAAATGTTGACTTCGGATTCGTAATTAGCAACCTTAACCATTTGCGTACCACGAGCCACTTTCGCGCTCTTCAGATTTTGTGTCGAGAAAAGCCAGGGCATTTGGCCGAAACAGACGACTGATAGCCCACCCGAAATTGGAATATGATAAGCGCTATTACGCTCTACGACTTTTTTCGACACGTAATCGAAGGAGCGCGATCGCGCTCTTTGGCGCTTTTCGATCCTGTTTTTTCAGAACCATCTGGTACGCAAACGGTTAAGAACGTCCGAGTAGCGAGTTCCAACTCAACTGGAAAACGTTTTCTATTTTTGGCCATCTTTTTGGGATTTGGCGCCCCACTGTGCGGCGCGAGAATAGTGCGGGAAACAAGGAGAGAATCGAATCCCCTCTTCGTCTGTTTCTTGGTTCCCATCACTAATGTTCGTTTCGTCAAGTAGCCACAACAACAATAGTGCAATCTTGGCGTGATAACAGCGAACGGCGCAGACTTAATACTGCGCATTGCAAAACTGCAAATTTGGGTCTCAAAGTTAACAATACAGTCGTATTAGTAATTAAAACGTTGAGGATTGGCGCCGTGACACGGTTCTACTCTGTACTCATATTGACATTTGTGCCCATAATTATGAAAGTGGTCAAAGTCAAAATTAAAAAAAAAATGAGTTTATCAGTTATTTCACGCCATATTATTTCAAACGACATTAATTCAATGTAATTTCGAAACAAAAAATATATGACTTAGACCACTTTCATAATTATGGGCACATTTGACAATTTGTTTATATTTAATTATTTATGAATGTCTTAAAAGGTAACGTAATAATATTAGCCAAACATGTTCGCAAATCCCGTTTACTCAAAGTGGACATTAGACATATTTAATACGTTGTATCTTTTTTAAAGTTACATATGTTTAATTAATATTTCTTTTATTTAAATTATTCCCTTAAGGTGAAGTGAAACCCCCTTTAAATCAGTCGATTCGAATACAACACATTTTTTTAAGGGTATTGGACCAAACTGTCCGAAACTTTGACATATGACTTGTGATCATCTAAGAATTCTCCCGACACATTCAAAATTTGGATTTTTCACAACAATTTTTTAACTCGGATCAGACCATAATCAAAATGGCGTCGAGCTCTCATATTTTGATTGATATTTAATTATTGCAGGCTCTAATATGAGAACGAAAGGTGTCAGGACAATTGTACGACAATTTAGAACACTCTGGTAATTGAGAAACTCGCATTTGAATTGGGTAAAAAACGATGGCAATACGAGGTCTCGGAGTGAAAATTTAGTTGACACGGAAATCACGGATGGCTCAAGGAGTCTCTTTTGCAGTCAATTTGGGCCTCAGAAACTATAAATCCAACGGATTTTTGGAATTTTACTTCGATTTCTTTATAATTATTGCACAAAAACGGTAGATGGAATTGCCACTTAGTACAATATCGATTATAATTCGACACGGCTGTGAATATAAAAATGAACATCGGCAACGTAGGTATTTAGAAAAACCTGTTTTACCGACTTCGATCAAGTTCCTCGACGTGTTTCATTTCACCTTAAATACGCATGTTACTTTCGAAGTTCTTACAGCGATGAAAGCGAACTCATTTTCTTGTTGGGAACTGACGTCCCATAAATCAGTTCTAGCAGGATACACCTGGAACGAATATGAGTGGCAATAACGAAGGAGACGGAAAGGCCTCATTTGTTTCCGAATTCCCGTAATGAGAGTCCAGTGGAGCGAGATCCTCGGCTTGGTGTAATCTTGATACGACAACGAACAGCGTGGAACCTTGATCCGGTGCACAATGAAAACTTTCCTGGGCCGAAGTGTGGAACCCAAGAGAGATGCTAGAGGGAGGAAATAAGAAGTTCGAGAAAAGAGAGACCGGCGGTTCGTAAGAGCGAAGAGCTCGAGGTATCGAACAAGGACAGGACTCAGAATTCACGGGGACAAGTGAAAGCCTCGTGGGAGTCGTGGCGGCTCGTAAGAACAGTAGTAGACTGTAAAATGTGTAACAATGGTTCCCATAGTGTGCAACACGAGTATTGTGGTGCGCGCTTGGCTCCAGACACTCCCACAGGACAATTATATCACGCAATTTCCTTCACGTTTCGCATTTAACTTTGATTTTGTTCGGATACGACGATGTCGTTTCTACCGGTCCACTCTCAGGGAACTCTTAGGCCGCCATAACAGTTCTTTCGCGGCGGTGTCTCTTCGTTAGAGAATAGGGTGGCATGCGACTTTTTCTTGCTCCTTTGGGCAGAACTTACCATGAAAATGCCCTCCGGTCTCCTCGCCAGCAAAATCATGTATTCTTGAATTCTGAAATCCCAATGCCCGGGGTTATTTCCAAACACAAACGCATTCCCAGCTTATTAAGATTCTTTCGGATTTTATAAACCTCGGAGTTCGTGTTTCAAATAAATTTATCTATTAGACTTCCTTTAAAAGCCATTAGAGCGTGTTGGTGTTGATATTGAGACGAACGAAAGAGGAGGGTAGTGTGGCAAATTTTGTATAACGTCGGACATGAATGCTTTCTTATCTTCCACGGCGGTAACATGGCCACAAAAAAGGCATTCATGCCCGCTGCTGTACATTCTGTTTGTGCAGACATTGCCGCGGACCTGATAACATTTATGAAGGATCTGAATTCGTAAAGTAAAGCCCATAATAAGTCTCACGGGAAGAAAATTATTTGAAATGGTCATCAGACTTTTTATAACACCTGGCAAATTTTACGTTATAAAAATTTCCATTAAATATAGGAAAGGTACTATCATCTACATTGTAATTTAATGCATTTGTCGTCATTTTTATATTGACTTGATGCATTACATTTATTGGATAACATACTTTTAATGATACATGAAGTTAAAGTAGCTTTGCAGTTTATTGCTGCTCTTGTATAATTTAGTCTTTGCAGTCAAATAATTTAGAACTTGCTTAATTTCATGCCTATTTTAGAAAAATCAAGTTACTACAAATCGGAACTAATTATATCGAATACTTAACATGTAAATGCACCATTTAGTGTAGGTGTTTGTTCTCTGGCGATTATTACCTTTCATTTCTTATTTACCGTCATTAGGAGCGCCTGATGCGTGATGTCTGGTATTCACGGATGTACAAAGGGATAGTATTTTACAGGGGCATTAAATGAAAGTATAATACACGGTTACTGAATAGAGAAGTCACTAGACGAAACACCACTGGAACTGAAAGTTGAGTTGTTTTAATAAGTCTTATTACGAAAAGCAAATTATCTGTACTGTAATGCATGTTCTTTTCCATATAGAGGATTATAGGCCACAGCGCATGCATGAGACGGAGTATATCAATTATTAAATGAAAGCACCGCTAACGAATAGAAAATGTTCAACAATTAAAGTCGTACAAGTTAAGCTGGATTATATGATTATACTAAAAAGTCGGAAGATTTATAGACAACATTTCATGAAATACAACGTTTAAAATTTCTCAAACCTTTCCCCTATTTTAAATAATTTCTAAGGTTCAGTCAGAATTCTTTCATTTTACAATTTCATTGTAATACTATAATATAATTATTATTTCTGTATAGTATAAAATAAAGTCCCCGGTAGGCATCTGCTTGTGCATTTCTTGAAGCAAATTGTGATAACGAGTGGACGAATTTTTATGCAGTTTGCACTATTCTATGGAGCATCTCTTTAGGAATATTTAAATACATGGAGAATTACCCATGAAGAAATATCGATTTTTCGCCAATACTGACCATGGTTTAAACGCGATCAGGTTTACGATTGTCCGTGCAACAGGAGTGCGCATTTAATTCGCGCATGGGTATATTGCTGTCAACCAACTGGCAAGAACTTACTGCGCATTCGACCAGCGCAGACGAGTCTAGACCCGATACACGTGTATTTACTAGTAATATATTTTTGTTACTTGTATATGTGCACTTTATTCTCGATTGGAAATTCGCGATAAAAATGATATCTTATTAATG